CTTCAAAAAATTCTTAACTCTGGAGCAGGAAAAGACAAGAGGTGACTGGGACCACGGAAGAGCCCAGAGGGGCTTAGGGGGCACCCTGTGTGGAACCAGGCAGGAATACTGTGTGGGAAAGTGCAAGGAAGGAGAGCAGCTCAGGAGGCTCGAGAAGGGGAGGCAGACTGTGGCAGGACAGTGCATGACATCCTTCGTACTGTGGCAGAGCCCCGCCTGCCATCTTCATTTGTCACCATAGGCCACAGGCTCTACTTTGGTCTCTGATCTCAAGGATCACTGGCAAGTTGGTCTGGGAGGCCTTGACAATGGTGGTTTCTTGTCTGCTTCCCTGGTTCTGCTGATTCACTCGACTCTGAACCTGTACTTCCCTTTGGGGCACAGATGCTGGGCTGGTTTAGAGTCTGCCCCCAGTTCTCTGACGCAGTAACCCAGCACACATCTTGCCATCTGGCCCCCACCTTAGGATCTTCCCGCAAGATTAGGAAAGTGGGAGGCTGTTACCAGGGCTGGTCTTCCCTGTGCGGCTGCCCTAAGCAGGAAACCGAAGCCATCTGGCCTGCGGCCTCCTTCCAGGTGGAGCCTGTGGGATGTGGCAGCGAGCCCTGTAGCAGCACCTGCTGCTGCTCAGGACCACCTGAGGAATGGCACACATGCACCAGGGAGGCGTGACAGGAGGCGCCAGTGCCCTAGCAAGCAAGCCACCCTTTCTGAATGGGGAAGTAGCATCAAAGCCATCAGAAAGAAAGCTGCAGTGCTCTCCGTGGTTTGGCATTTTGAACAAGGACATATCAGAAATAACCTGTCTTAGCTGGGCAGTGGCACACACCTGTATTTCTATTGGGTAAGGTGGACTGCAAATCTGAGCCTAGAGTGGGCAACTTAACAAGACCTTGTTTCAAAAAACAAAAAAGGGCTGGGCATGTAGCTCAGTGTGAAGGCTCCGGGTTCATTTTGCAACATTGCAAAAAAGAGACGTCACAAAGAACAAAGGGCGGATTTAAAGTGCTGACTAGAATGAAAGATTATCAGTGTAATTTCAATTGTGCGTGGCAATTTTCCTTTTTTTTTTTGTTTTTTGTAAGGGTCTATAGGGTCTCACTATGTAGATCAGATTTGTAGTGATCTGCCTGCGTTCAGCCTCCCAAGAGCTGGGATTACAGGCATGTGCCACCATGCCCAGTCTCAATCCCTGTGTCAGTGCACCCGGGACACAGCCCGATACTCACTCTGAAGGTCAAACCCCGGCCTCTGCCTCTGCCTAAACAGGTGCTGTAATCTGCTGAGCTGTTTGGCCAGCCCTCTTGCCATCTTTCTATTTATCCTAGTGTCCCACTCCCCCTCTCTGCACCAGGCTAGGAGACACCCACTACTATAACCTAACTAAGAGCAGACACTTAAGCGCCGCCAGATGTACTTTGTAGCTGCCACTGCAAGCACGTGTGAATGAGATGGGGGTGATTTTTAATCATGGACAGGTAACTTGTATGAAAGCACAGTTGGGAGTTGGTGTCATTAGTCTCTACAGAATCTGGTCATCCGAAAGGACAGGTCTGTGCGTGTGTGTGTGGGGGGCGTCTGAGGAAGCTTTCCTCACAGTTGGTGCAGTGGCTTTTCATATGTTCTTTGTTCATACACGTTTACTTTAATGTTTAAGACATGTCTGTATAATTCTGTTTCATATGACATATCTAACAGTATTAGAGAAAGAATATTAAGGTAAAATAAAATGTGCTTGTACGCACGCTCTTTAGTACTGAGCAGTGCTTCTAGACAGCATTAGGAAGCAGTTCTCTTTAATATGGTAGCAGCAATCTTGAGTCAGTCCATGCTGTGTAACTGGGATCAGATGCTGGGTGCAGATGCCAGCTCTGCTGCGGCAGCTCTGCAGAGGGTGGTCAACCCGTCTTTGCTCAGTTTCTTTCCTTTCCTGCCTGCAAGCAGCAGGAGGACGATAGTGTACATCTCAGAGGGGAGCTGCGAGTACTGAGTGAGACGAGCCACACAGGGTGTGGGGCACACAGTGGCTGTGCTGTAATTATTGTGTCAAAGTTATACTGGAGGTTGAACTCAGGACCTTGAGCTTGCCAGGCAGGCGCTTATGCTGCTGAGCTGTCCCCCCCGGCCTATCATTTTGGTAGCAGCAAGTAAAGCGTTGCCTGGTGCTGTATAAGGCAAGCTACACTTTGGTCATCTTCATTTGTGATGTTTCCTATATCTTTTTCTGTTTTTTGCTTTCCTTTGGGGAAAAAAATGAGAAGACTGATTTAGGTGGTGATGAGCAGAAAAGGGGACCAAGAAAACGCTCTGCACAGATTTACAGTGGCTTCTAACATCTAGTTATATGAGTTTCTTGTGCCTTAGTCGGAAATGATTGTTTTAAAGTATGTTTTCAGTTGCCAAAATTTCCATGATTTATGAGAGCTTGAATATTTGGTATTCAGTTTCAGAAAACAAGTCTTTTTCAAGTGTCACAGCATCACTGTACTACCCACATATGTAAAACTTAGAGATACAGCTTTTTAATATTTCAGTTTTCAAAGGCAGCTGGCCTTTATTTAACCACCACATTTACATCCAGTTCCTGCAGGCATGGTTTTGTTGTTTAAGTTTGGCTTGATGCCCTCTGAGGAAAGTCTCTACTTTAATAAATAACTCCACTAAAACTGCTGGAGTCCCCTGCTCCTCCTTAGTGCCACCACTATACAACAGCACAAAAAATTTCACCTTGAGCTCTAAAGATACAGTTAAGAAAATGCATTGTTGGAGAATTACTGGGGGTGGGGTGGCACTGCTATAATATATTCAACTTGTTGCCCTTAGCTTATTTTGCAGAACTGTTTATGTACTATGAAATGTTCAGCTAGTGCATACAGGAAGCTGTAAAGTACTTTATGAGATGTATTCATGGTTGATGGTAGAATTTAGGTGCAGCCTGGAAGGTTCTATGTAAATTTCAGTAGTGCAGATAGATGAGAGACTACGTTCTCTGTAGTGATTTTTTTTTAAACACAAGGGATTATATGGAATACTTGATTTGGAAATTATAGTTTAAAATTCCATCCAACTATCATTTCTAGACAACTAAACTTGTTTCCTTTCAGACCAAGAACCTCAGTTGTATTTATTTGTCTTCTGTGTAGTCAAAACATTAAATGTGGGTTATTTCACTAAAAAGAAAAATAATAAAGACTTCTCCCCAGATATAGATACTAATGACCATTTAAAAAATATGCACTTTGTATGGTTTTTAGATAAAAAAAAAACCCTTTGCTACTAAAAGTGAAACATCATTTTTGAATCTCTACTATTACAATATGTGAAGGCAAGGACCAGACAAATAGCTCAGCAGATTAAAGCATCTGTAAGCAGGCGCAGGGCCAGGGGTGGGGGTGGGGGTTCGATATCCCCCCATGCTGGCCCTGCCTTGGGGCATGCTAAGACAGCTACTGACTGGGAGTGGTGGTGTGTGCCTGTCATCCTAGCACTTTGGAGGCTGTAAACAGGCGGATCACTAGGAGTCCAATCTAGTAGTGAGACCCTGAACACCCTGTAGACCCTTGCCTAAATACAAGAAAAAGTGAATGCAAGAAGATTAATGACGTAACCTCTAAATGGCACTTTTCAGAAGTCACACTTTGAAATTTAGGTGAAAGCAGAAATATTTTATTTTCTTCACCTCTAAAGAGCAGTATCTGTTTCTCTAAAGAGAAGTTATTTGATGGTTTATTTTCAAATTTGATCTCTAAATCACAAGGATTATGCCTTACTGTGTCCCCATAATCTCTTAATTTACATTAATGTGATTAAAAATGCTGTAACATTTCAGCATGCCTTGGTGATATTCTCATGCAAATCTAATGTGGTGGGGTGTGAGAGATTGGAACTGAGGTACTATGGGTTTCGGGGAATTTGAGGAGGACTGATTCTTCTCTTTAGGCCTTGCATTTTTCATCTGTGAAATGAGGGACTGTTCTCAATGCTTGCTAAGATTATCTCTTATTTTAAGTGATTCCCTAAAATATCTACATGATATTTTAGTCTTGAGAATTTATTGAAGTCACATTTTCCAAAATTTTGCTTCTGTAAATTTCATTTATATACTCATTGCTTAGTGAAATTTTAGTTCACTTCAGATTCAGCCTTGTGGAAAGGGAAGATAAAGAACTTAAGTGTAGCAAAGAAAAAAATAATATTGAGCAATTATGGGAACATCTAGGCTGGTTCAAGACAGACATAAATGACCTTTTTAAATTCTAAATTCAGCTCTCTGGCTTATGATGAAAAGTGAAAGGTTACTATATGAACTTACTGGGCAAAACCAGGTTTTATAAATAATTGCCTGTCAGACTGTTCAGGATAGACAAACATACACCAGACCAGCAAAAACACAGACCTGTCATATTTCTGAGAAATGTACATTGGGTCTTCCTTCTCTGGGACTATAAGGAGATCAGGTAGGATAAAATGAATGGAAAAACTAAACCCTATTTCTCTGCCTATGGATACTTTAAAAAATATAATGTGGGAGAGAAAGAATTTCAATGTGGAAAAATTACCCCTGAGAATTTTACACATCTTTTAAGCCTAGTAGATCAAAACCAAATACAGTGTATGCTGTTGTTTTAAAAATTGGGATGTTTACTGCAGGCTTACAATTTTCATGATTAGGGAAGCCAAAGAAAATAATAATGATGATAAGTTTAATCAGCCACTTCAGCAAGCATAGATGGAATGTCAAAATCTTTGGACACTTGTGATATTATATATCTGATGTTTTTTTCTGACATGTAGATTATCTCTCCAGAAGGTTCAACAAAATGGCAGTTTAGCAAATGTGAGTGAAGAACACAGCACAATTCTACGGGTGCTCAGTTATTTGGTCACAAGGAAAATTTCGTGCTTCTCATGTTTGTTTTTATGAATTCTTTAGGCTTTTTTTGGGTATAAAAATCATGATAAAAGTTAAATTACACAAAACGCCCACAGAATTAAATAACTTCCTTCTTTGCAATTCATGTTTAATTAGGAACTGTGGAACTGCGTCTGCTGCATTTTGGGTTGTTCTTGGGAGCTGAAAACCTCATTTGCTTGGGAGAGCTGAGATGGGGTGGGGAAGGGGGCAACTGCTCCCACTCAGTGCTTCCTGGAGGGGCTGCTGAAGGGAGGGGGCCGGTCCCTCTCCCCGCTTTCTATTATTGTGACTGCCACTATTGTGAGCTGGAAGGGAGGAGTCTTACTTCAGAAACACCTGATGGACAGGAAGTGGGGGAAAAGGCAAGTGGGTGGCGGGGAAGTGGGGTGGGGCCTGGCGGCTTCTGACGTTAGTTAGACCTTTGATTATAACGTGAACATGACTACATTTATTTTAGGGACACCTAGTCAACAAGTGTTGGGAAGTAAAGCTGGTGGATAGTACAGTGGGAGAAGACTGTTCTTTTAATCTTGTCTCCTTTGTCTCCAACCTGGAGTATAAAATGTATCAAATAAAAAACACAAGACTAAAAATGCCGAGGGGGTGATTAAGATACGTAAGCCAGGGAAGCCAGGGAAGCAAATCCGTGCCAAGTTAAGATCTGCATGCTTGTCCACCTACACACACTCCCAAACATCCTGCCATTAATCAGCTAAATAGTCCATCTAGTAAAGGAGACTACGGTGCTGAGGGGCTGGAAAAGAGCAGTCGTCACATCAAACCAGTGCACTGGCGAGGCTGTGAAGGTGAACTTTAGTCTTGCACAGGCAGGGAAAAGAAGTCACTGCAGTGTAACACTGCCTTTCTTGTTGCAGGCACAGTTGCGTCAGCAGGCTAGAAAAGCCATCCCATTCCTGCGGTAGGCACTCTGTCAAAGAAAAAGAAATGTGCAATGAATTATCCCATCAAGTCAAACAAGAAAAGGAGGCAGAAAGCAAACCGAACTTGCTTTCTCATTTGTAGACTCCTGGCTATAATCTAATAGGTGCTTAATATAAATAGTTCTGGTGGAAAAGTAATGACAAGCATTCTATTAAAAGTTAGTGTGGTCGACAACTGGTTAGCAACTCTATTTTTGGGATGTGGGAGATAGGCAAAATAAGACATCCAATTTTGTTAATTGATTGGTTAAGCCAAAGAGACATTGTGTTAAATCTGCTGTCTTTTACAAACATATGTTCTCTATTTAGCATGCTCCAGAATCACTTCTAAGTATCTAATAGTCTATAAATTACTGACTCATAGATTTTCTAGTCCTAATTTATAGTCTCAGCAGACACAGAGGGCTTTCCTCTCTAAAAGGATTTCAAAGGAATTCTGCACATTACAAACAGGAAAATTAAGCTGACTTACAATCTGATATACATACATGTGCATGTTGGCATACATATGGCTGTGCATGGGATAACCTCATAATTGATACTAACTGCAAAAATATAATGTATCCCAGTTAACAAAGTAGAAACTGCTTGCTATTCACTGTGAATTGTGAGGGATTTGACATTTGAGAGCTAGAAGACCTGGGCAACACAAGGTTTATTACTTGTCCTGAATCCTACGTTGCTATAAAATGGAGCAGAACTAAAATTCAGTACTTAGGGCAAAAGTTCCCTTTCAGAGGTGTACTCTGTATAACTAATAGTCATTACAGTCCACTCATACTTCTGAGAACTCTCAAATTCTTCTGTAATTGACCTTCACAAAAATGGAGAAAATTAAAATATCATCCCCTTCCTCCTGCTCCTGTAATTCTGAGCTGTTCTGGAGTTTTTGTACTTTCAGCTCAACAAATTTATTGTCAGTAGGTATTTTTATGTTAAAGAATAGTGGCAAGCAGCTGGGTACGGGCGGCACGCACACAACTCTGCCATAGAGAAGACCCATGGTAACAAATGATTTGGAGGAGAGTTACAAGGGAAGAACTCTAGAAATGATCAGGAACTCTCAGAAACTCTGCACAGCAGGGGGAGTCAAAAAGGACAAAGCAGGGATGGCAGGGATGTGTATATCCCCTCAAGGGGAACAAGCAGGCAGCACCGCATCAGCAGTCCTGACTGCATGAGACTGCATGGTCCGCACAGGGCTTAAATCTAGTTGGCATGTCGAAGATATTTTTTTGTTCAAAATATTTCAAAACTCAAATTATGTCAGTGGTCTGCAGTTTTCCTTCTGCTTCTGTATAAATAGGCTTGTACCAGAGTTATAAGCTGTACCTGGCCTGTTTTTGTTTCTATATTTCTAAAGTTCCACTCACTCAAAAGGCCCCTTCCCTGCCTGATAAACAGTATAAAAGTAACTTCCTGTACTAGACTGGGGGCTCACACTTAGGAGTAAGCAGCTCTTCTGAGCCCATCTGCATAATAAAGCTTGGTTTCCTCCAGTTTTTCAAGTGGTGTTCCGTTTCTTTGCCTCTCGTAAACCTAAAATTGCTGTAACATTTGGTTAGTCCTGACTGGGAAACTGACTGTGCTGGCCCAGTGAGCCACCTGCTCAGAGTAGGACGAGCACCTGCTAGATGCCCTCCTCAGAGCATGGGACGGTGTACTTCTCGCCCAATTGGTGAGTCCTCCTTCCAAGGAGGACAGGCTTGGTGGGTGCTCGGACATATTCTCTGATCGGACTTGGTGCAGAAGTGGACTGATTTCCTGTTGGGACTTCCAGAGAAGGTGAGTCCCCTGGGTGCCTGTCTACACAGTTGGAAGGGGAGACGGATCCCCTTCCAAGGTCTCCCAGACGAGACCTCAGTCAGCCAAGGATTTCTGCAAGTGGGGATGAATGACTTTTGAGTGACTGTGTAAGTGAATGTGCACCTATCTGTGGCTCCACGATGCGAGCCACAGAGTCCAAGTGGGCCCTATGCTTCCCTGACAGTGTCACACAGTACAGTGTCACTCTTGGTACCTCTCTGCCCTTGGACTTGGTGACTCTTCTCTTTGCCATAGGTTTTGAAGAGGCAGCCCTGAGGGACTGGTCTGTAAGTGAAAGGTGCATCATAACCCTGAACTTAATTTTATGGGACACTGTCTACTGTTACACTGGTGGCTCAACCACAGATACTCAACCCCTCCTCTAAAGGGTTCCAAAATTTTTTATGGGTAACAGAAGCCCTAAATCATTATTGCTCAGTGGTCACAACTCTGTGACTGGTACCCTGTCCTCACAAGAGTGCCTCCTGTTACACAATTTTAACCAATTTCAGGAATGGTTCCTACTAGATACAAAAACCTTCTTCCTTTATAGGGAAAATAAAACTCAGGGTGCCACACAGGTTAAGCACTAGGGACAGGCAGCTCCCTGGACTGGAGCCATGTCTCAGTTATTGTTCTCTCATTGCTGGGACAAATACCTGATACCCAAAATGAAGGAAGGAAAGGTTTACGTAGCTCACAGTCAGTAGAGGTTTCAGTCCATACTCAGTTGGCTCCAAGGCAGAGCGGCCATGGCAGAGGGCAAACTTTTCATGGCAGTGGCAGAGAGTAAAAGGAGGAGCAGCAGCAACAGTGGCTGCAGCAAGCAAGTCCGTCTCTCTTACATTGCATTCAGGCTATCTGCCCCAGGCTGGGGGTAGCACACCCATAATCGCAGCAGCACTCACACCCATAATTGTAACACTGGATCAGGAATTAATCACAAAGTCTTGAAGTCTGCCCCATGACTGCATGAGGCTTGCGGGGGGGGGGAGGGGGCGCGCACAATTAGACACAGACCATAACAGGCCACGCTGGTCATAAAGGTTGGGGTCTGGAAGGGTAAGGCAAAGACTTTAACCTTCTCCAGATACAGAATCATTTTTTCCTGAGTACACTGGGGTTGTGTTTTGGCTTTGTGACACTTCTGCCTACATCTATCTCCCTAGCTGGACCAGGACATTCTATGAAATGTCAGAACAGAAAATAAAAATGATCATAAAGAAACTCAGTGAGATGCAAAAGATACAGATAATAACATAAAGACATGAGAAAAACAACTTAGGATGTGATAGGTGCAGTCACCGAAGAGACAAATATAATCAACAATCTTGGAAATAAAAACAGTAAAATAAAAAATAGAATATAATAGCTTTTATAAGAGATGAGAATAAGCAGCATAATTTTTCAGTTTGAGGATCTTTTGAATTAATTTTAAAAAATGAAGGACTATAAGACTTATTGTGGACACTTTCAAGCAAACAAGGTGAAAAGGAAAGATGATTAAAACTGGTTTAATGATGTAGTAGCCACAACTTCCTGTATTTGTAAGACACAAAAATTCAGATACAAGAAACTTTAAGGATCCTACATAGAATCAATCAGCCTGTTCATCAAGGCATATTATAGCCAAAATAGTGAAAGTACAAGAGCCTTTTCCCCCTAGAGCAAGAGCAAAGCACCAAGTCACATCCAAGAGGATGCCTATGAGACGTACGGCAGATGCTGGGTTAATGTATTGAAGAAAAAACCAAAAACCTAAAACCAACCCTGCCAACCTATTTGCAGCAAAATTATTTTTCAAAAATGGGGAAATACAGTCTTAAAAACAAACTGGGGAATTTTTACCAAGAGATAAGCCCTACAATAAATATTTGAGAGTACTATACCAGAAGCAAAAGAACAGTACCATTGTGAAAACACATGAGTATATAAAAGTCAACAGACTAGAGATATGTAAAAGAAACAGTAAACGGCAAGACATTAGCACGAGAGAATTCTACTAAATGGTAAATAATTCAATTTCTTCTTAAACTATTCCCCAAAACTGAGATGTAAGGACTTCTGCCAAATTCTTGATTTTTTTGAAGCTAAGACCAGGATTATCCTAATACCCAAACCAAAGATACAACAAAATTAGACCTACATAGTATAAGACATAGACGCAGAAATGCTCAGTAAAGAACTAGCAAACAATTTAACACACATCAGAAAGATCATACACTATGATTACATGAAGTTCATTCAAGGATGGGTCAACTTACATAAATAATGAGCATGATGATACGACAGGTCAACAGAATGAAGGACAAAACCCATATGAGAAGTTTAGGCCCAGGTTGGGAAGGACATAATATAGAAGTTACTTATCTCAGTCCTATAAAGTCTACTATGTAAATATAAATACAGTGTCAACATCTTATTAAGTGGGAAAAATCTGAAAGCTTTTTCTCTAAAATCAGCAACACAACAAGGATAGCCATACTTACCATTCCTGAAACTTTAGCCAGAGCAGTCACATGAGAAACAGAGAAAAGGTATACATACAGGAAAGGAAGAAGCCACACTATCTTGATCTGAAGATGACATCCTTTACATACACAACCTACAGAATTCCATGAAAAAGACTCCTAGAACTGAAATTCAGTAAGGTACCAGGACCCAAAATCAGCACACAGAGCAAATAGCTTTCCCATACAACAATAAATCCAGTGAGAAATTAGGGAACCAATGCCATTCACCAATAACTTCAAGAAAAACTATACACTTTAAGTGTTTACAAATGTGTTACCTTTGTAATAAAAATTATAAAGAGGATTATTAAAAAAAGGAGAGGTGAAGCCTGATGTGGTGACACATGTTTATAATCCCAGAACTCAGGAGGCTGAGACAGGAAGATTGCTAGGAGTTTGACACCAGCCTAGGGGCTACAAAAATGAGCAGAGGCCAGCCCAAATTGTATGAGACCCTGTCTCAAAAAAAAAAGAGAGGTATCTTATTTCTGGATAGGCAGATCCAATACTGTCAAAATGGCCACACTACCAAAACAGATACACAGATTTAACACAATTCTGTGTCAAATACAACTGAAATAGCAACAACATTCTTTACAGAATTGAGACATCAATCCTAAAATATGAAACCGGAAGAGACTCAGACTAGCAAAAGCAATCCTGGGCAA